AATATACAAAACATTTATTTACCGAGACTATGTTAAAAACTTGTGATATGTGGGTATTGGATAATCTTTGTTAATTAGTATTTGTTACCTAGAAAGCGTTCAAACTTTGGAAGCGTTTTGAAATCAAGAAAATGACTAGTGAGTAATAATAACTTTCATTGTTAATCGATATATGAGAGGAAGTTTCAGCTCGCTATTTTCACACTGTTTGGCCGATAATTGCCAACACATTAGATCGTTTTCTGTTCAACAACAGGTAATATGGAATTTGTACTTTATATTTTTAAATAGTTTTGTTTTGCATTTTTTATGTTATATAGAACTTGAATATTTTCAAACGACGACTTGAGAAATGATTAACTCTATCATCTGTGAAAGTTTTTTTAATCTGCTTTTCCTTTTTTTAGTCGTCCTCCATGTCCGTTAAATGCTGATGAACGAAAAAGACATGAATTTATTGACTGCCAATTGATAGAACTGATCACAGCTGAGGTAAAAATTCAGATTTTATTTGCTAAAATAATTCCTCCTTACTATAACCAGATGTTTTTTATGTTTTTTTTTTTCTCAGGAACATCATAACATGTGATTTAGCAAAGAAAGCTCACCATTCAGCTGGTTTAAGTATTTTTCTTTGTTTGTGGAAGAAATGTTCACTTCAGATGTTGCCTTATGCAAGCGTTTTGCCAGCGGATTTTATTCAGAAAATAATCGATATATTGAATCGTGGTTCCATAAGTACTGTGGATTCCTCTGATGTCTTTGGTACCGTTTTATTGCGGGTTTCTAATTACACTAGGCTTTGATGCATAATATTGAATGTGAAAATTTTTGCAAATTTGTGATTGGATATTGAATCATAAGCTTATTTGAAATTTTGGATTTTATCTGTGCTTTAATCAACACCGTTTGTTAAACTTAGTTTTCTTGCAGTAGCACTTATTGGTAAAATTTTCTTGTAGCTTTAGACACATATGCACAACGAGCAGAGCTATCTAAAGTATGCTTTGAAGCGCTGTTATCAATGAGTCAAAATGAGGAGCAACCAGATATCGTGCGGAGCACGGCAGCAGCACATTTTCTTGGTGGTATGAATTATACTGGTAATTAAAATTCGAAATTTTTGATGAAATTATTCGAAGTAAATATGTAATGGAATCTGTTCCAAGCTGTATTTGAATTCAACTTAGTTCAGTTGGTTCATGTTTTCTTCATTTCATTTTGGCCAAATGATTGGAATGTTGTTTTAAGTTACTCTTATTGTTTAAGAAGTTTATTAATTGCAATCTGAGTTTATATTTATTTATTTTTTTTTAGAGTCAGTTACTGATGATATTAAAGGAGCAAGTGCAAATGAAAAAAGAAGACAGTGTATCATATCATCAAGTTTAGGTACTTCTGCAATCTCGTCATTGCTGGCCAGATGTAAAGAAGTAATCATTCATCCTATTAGTTTTTCATAAGTGTGTATGTTTTACTTTTTAATCATATTCTATGGTTATCATGCTATGTTTTAATGTTGTTTTAGGCTTTGCATAAGACATTACTGAACAATCAAACTTTTTTCTTGTAGGTAATGTTATCGTTTGTACGTGATCAGTTAAATGCTGGACAGTTACGCCTTTCTCAAGAGAGAATTGTTGAAATGACGTCTGTGTTACATGCCGTGAGTACACTTATCGATGGGCTTGTACGTCGTGTGGAGAACTTCAATTTAGAATTCTATACAGAACTCGTTAACCTTTATCCAATTCTTGTTGATTGTATAACAAGCACAAAAGCAGATCCTCAGGTTTGTAGCTTTAATATATAATAATGTTTACTTTTGGTTACCGTCGAGTCTGCGTAATCATTTGCCAATTAATTATGCTACTGATAGTCAATCCAGACTTTTTTGGGTGCATTGTGGTTGTAATACTTTCTCTTTCATTCATAACTACGGGAGAATGAATTCTATCATTCTTTCACGCTGCCCGGTTGCCAGTGTTTAAACTTATTTAAACGATACTTCAAATTCAGTAAGTTTCTTTCTATTTTGCATATCACGGTCAGCTTCGCTGATAATTTACATGTTCTTTGGTTAGCTTTTATTAAAAATTTATTGATTAGCTGCAGAAAGATTACTGCAAAATATTATTACAGGTTGAAGAAGCATTGATTAATGCTCTTAAATCCTATCAGATATTATTGCTGCTGAATGTGCATAAGTTCGATAAAGAGCGACATTAAGTGACTGTTATTTGTAAAAGGAATGTAAAGAAATCGTCACATTACATTAAGACAGTAGCAGTATGTCGTACTGTCAATTCAGGAACACCGAGGATTCGTTACATTATATGACGACAGTTATGTATGTCATACTGTAAAATATGTCATACTGTAATCCACAATTTGGTATGGATTAGCAAGTTTAGCTGTGTTAAACTGTGTTTGAGTACGTGTATGTTACCTGCCACTGTACCTGCATATTTTTTTGATTTTCTTCATAATTTACGAATATGCGATTGGAATACACAAAATTGTAAATGATGGCAAACATGGAATGTGATTGGAAATATACAACTTTGATATTATTTCTCGAATTTATTTCTGGAATTTTCATAGTTCATTAGTTATCAATTGAGTTATTACTGTTTATTTATGGCATTTATCATTAAAATTAAGTTTGTTTCTTCAGATAGATATTTGGTCTTTTTATTCCTTGAGAATATGAAATATGGTGGTTTAATGAATATTATATTGTTCATTAATTTGTGTATAACATTTTCTTTATGCATTTTACAAAGCTTCCGTTCTTTTTCTTTCTCTATTATCGTGTGCCTGTGATCTTTGCACTTCCTTTTATGTTACGTTGAATTTTCGTGTTATGTTTTAGACGGATTAACTGAACTGTTCACTTATTCAGTGTAATGCATCCCCTTTTCTATCTTATTCATCCGGTTTTGGTTTAATTGCATCAATACTATGTACCGATACAATTAAACCAATACTGATGCAATTAAACCATCAGTACTATACATACTACGTATCCATTCATTTTTATCATGGTGCTGACAAGCAATCGTAATTTTCCGATTCCCCGAAGTACTTCAATTTTTCTGAAGTATTCTCTGAAGTTATCGTTTTCTTGTGTCTATTCTGTTGACGAAATATTCAGGTGCTTAGATTAGATCTTAAAAAAGTTTATATAATATTTATATTAGAGAGGACCATTATAATGCATATTTAGGCTCAGCATATAGAAGTTCTACAGGAATTGAAACAATAGATAGTAAAAGGATTTGTATATGCAATGAAAAAAGGTCAAATTTCTAATTATTCATAACCTATTTATTCCTATTACCTAGTATGTTCGTAAAGTTTCTAGAAGTTCACTAAAATCTGGAAGTAAAACTGAGAAAGGGATGAGTTTGGGTAAGTTGATGGTTGCACTGATACACTCAACAAAGAATGTATCAGTGCGACTGATCTGTTGATAATTCCGTTGTGCATATAGGTGTGAAACAAATATATGATTACAGGAAGTAGGTATCATACGAACGAAAATTATTTGAGTAGAATCTTTTATTTATTTCGTTACAAAATGTACCTTTATTAATGTAAAGGAATTATACGACTTGTATCTGATTTCACTTATCATTTCTTGTTGTTCATGTTTATCAGATTGTTATTGATGTAAATTTCATTATTTTGTATTCTATTGTGCATAATTTATTATGAATTTTATTATATTTGTGAAGTTGCGTGTGATATATATTAATGCTTCTTCTCATTTTGCATTCCATAATAAACAACTGTCAACTTTCGTTTTTGTTCGCTTTCTTGCCATAAACATATTGAATTTTTTGGAAGAAATTTTTTGCTATGGTAAATAAATTTAATTATAGAATCACTGGGAAATATGATAAGCGGTAATTTCAGTCCGGTTGCTTTGTTACGCAGTTAGTCTACAATTCAATGAGGTTAGGTGTTATTTGAAGCAAGCAAAGATTAATTTATATATTAAGGACAAAAAAGGGAGCGGAAATTTTGCAGTGCAAAAGATTAAAAGTATTGTTATGATTGATTAAGTGATGTGTTTTACAATCATATTTGTTCCCTTATTGTTCTAATGATTGAAAGTGATAAGGTCATGGAGCAGAAGGAATAATGAAAAATGACAATTTAATTTAACCAAATAATCATTTATTTGTAGGATTGGAAATAATTTTAGCTATAACTGTTATAATTTTAGTCACATTAGTCTTATTGTAAAAAAAAAAAATATGATCGTAAGAAAAAAAAAATCATATGATCGATTTAAATTTAATCAAATAATCATTTATTTATAGGATTGAAAAAAAAAAATAATTTTAGCTATAACTGTTATAATTTTAATCACATTAGTCTTATTGTAAAAAAAAAATGATCGTAAAAAAAAATCGTATAATTATATGATAGGAGCATTTAAACTCATATATCAAAGAATAACAGATAAATTTGTTGATAACAATAATTTCTCTATATATCAATTCTATTGCTATTTTCTTCCAAATTTGCATTTGCTTATTTCGTTTTAAAAAGGAAGCCAAACGGAATTTAGGGGAAATGGCTAGAAGAAATGGAAAAAAAAAGGAATTGATATCGGTAGGATAATTAAATAATAAATACAATTTCAATATTTCAAGAAAAAGTAATAGATGTTGGAAAGCAAAAACAATAGCAGCAAAGAAAAAAGCTTTTAACTACTCAAAATTTTTAAAGTTAAACTACAAAAACAAAAATAAGAAGAGCATCGTCACGGAAATTTTCAATTTATTAAAATTTAATTCCGATATTTTTTTTTTAAATTTTTGACATAAAATGTGGAAAAAAATCCAACATTGCATATATTTACAATTGTAACAAAATTATTAAATTAATTATGAATAAGAAATAGCATTAAAAGTTCATTGTATTATAAAGCATTACGAAAACTGTTAAATTACAAATTTGTATGATTCAAGTAGAATTTTTGATTATCATATTCCATATATTGATAAAATAGTTGATGCTTTCGAACCTACTGATCCGTGCGTACCAAAACTAACATTTCGTGAATGAGGCAGTAATGATCTGTCAAAATTAACGCTCAAATAGCATCTGAAAAAACAAAATCTTTTTTCTTGAGAAGTATTGTGTTATCAAATTGGAATCGTACAAGTTTTATTATTGAAATTGTAGCAAAAAAAAATAGGTATGATTAATTAGAAAATATCTAAAGATGGATTAGGACAATAAATTTTAATTAGAAATACCTTGTTGAATTGGAACGTTCATTGAGAAGTGCATCATCTTCGCTGGAAATTGACATACATGAATCACCAACATCAATATCATCATCTTTGACAATAACATTGTAAGCAGTAAGCAATGCACTATTATTTGCCACAATTGTGGCCATTGAAATAAATGGTTGAAGATGAGCAAATATAAGAGCTATATGAGATACTGAAATTAAATTTCAGATATAATATTTTGATGGAGAAAAGTTACATTTATAAAAATAAAATTTTTAGTAGATCAAAAAAAAAAAATAAATCATCAAACATTGTTTCCTTTTATATTTTTCATTTTTTATTTTAATATTAACATATTGCATATTTACCCGTTTTTACATCTTCCATTCATCTCAAATTTAACATTTCAAGCAAACTTTTGCCATCAAACTCATTGAATTTGTTATGTAAGTTAAATCAATTACAATATTATCATTTTATTATAGTTTTCATTTCTAATTGCCCATATTTTTCTTTCATAGTCGCAAAAAAACAATGCAAAATTTGACAAAGCTAAAGTTAAATCAAATTAAAATTTTTTAATCGGAAGTTAAAATGATTCTTTTAACAATTTTTTTTTTTTTAAAAACGAATGAAATCTTTGTGTGATTATTTACATTATTATTGGAAATGATTACATTTTTTTATCTCCCTTGATTATTTT